TCTTTCTGTTTCCTTTATCTCCTGTTATTCCTATTAATCCTTTTAAATTTATTTGTCTTGTTTTTTGTTTTAATCTTATCATTTCTTCATCGTATTTCCTACAATATAATAAAATATGTTCTACATTTTCTATGACTTTACATTCAACTGTTTCACTTTTCTTTAATAAAAATAATGTTTTATTTAACCCAGTCTGATCAAATCTTAGCCTTGTTAAAATATTCTCTTCTCTTCTATTCTTTCTAACCAAACCTTTGGCATTAATAGATTTCTGTACATTATAATAATTTCTTCCACTTTTATCCATGTTCCATCTATTCTGCCATTTTTCCTTCATTTCTTTTTTAATTATTATCTTAGCTTCTCCTTTCCCGTACGTTATGTTTATAATATTATTTGTTCTGACTGATTGTTTATCTATTTGTTCTGCTCTTTCATTCCCATTTATTCCTACATGCTAATACCCTTTAACACCATTTTTAATTCATTCATATTGATTTCTGCAGCTCAATCAATTAAATCAATCAAATTTATTTGTATAGCCCTTTATAATAACCAAATGAAAGCCAAAGTGCTTTACAACAAAGCCATAAAACAATACATGACACATATAAAACATACAGATATAATTAAAAGTGCTGCAGCGCTGCAGGACATTAACAGCCTTCCAGAGGTGCATAGAAAGGAGCAGACAGGAGGAGGACATCTAAGAGACAGTATTATAGTCAGAATTAAAAGCTAAATTAAAAAAGTGTCTTTTAAGCTTTTTTAAAAGGCTGAGGTCAGTAGTGGTTTGGATGTCAGTTTGTTCCACAGTCTGGGAGCAGCGACGGCAAAAGAACCATCGCCCCACTGTTAAGTCTTGACCTATTGACCTCTAACAGAAGCTAACCCGAGGAGCGTTAAAATCTCAGACCAGTAAGAGGGGGCCACGCCATGGATGGCGTTAATAACAAACAGCAGAAGTTTAAAATCGTTTCTAAAACGGACTGGAAGCCAGTGGAGTGACGACAGCACAGGAGTCATGTGTTCACGTCTGGAAGTGTTTGTTAAAAATCGGGCGGCGGCGTTCTGCACAAGACGAGAAATTGCTGACTGACTGAGGCCGACGTAAAGGGCATTGCTGTAGTCCAGCCTTGAACTAATGAAAGCATGGATTGCCTTCTGAAGATCCTGCAGACTGAGAAAGGACGCGACTTTGGCCAAAAGACGGATCTAATGCATTTTCCTCTTCTTCTATTCGTTGTGAATAAATATTTCTCTATTTTCAACTATTATCTTCTCCATATTCTGTCTGTAATTATCATCTAAATGGTCCCTATTATGCAGACTGGCAAACTTCTGTCCCAAACCATTAGCTTTTTCCTTATCACCCTCTAATATATTATTATTTTAACAAATACTTTAGTCCCACTCATTTTCTTTAATATTGTCCAAACCTCTGCTATTTTAACTTCACCTCCTATTGTAGATCAATAACTTCTCCATGTATTTCTCTTACTGTTCTTCATAACGCTATAAAAATATAATTAATATAACTCTGCAAATTCATTAAAGCTTTAGGTGAATAAATATCGTCCATTTATTGGATATATCTTAACGATGTGTATTATTTAATATTAATCCTATCCTCCGCTTGCGATAGGGAAGCTGTTGTGATTGGTTAATTCCCTGGATTGCTGATTGCACGTTGGTAGTACCGGGTTTGAAGTGAAGCCATCAGCCGCCATATTGGTACTCCCTTGTTAGAGCGGTTGTTGGGTTCAGAACACTTTAGAACAAAGCGGAGACACGATAAGGCTCCAAACACGACTTATCGGTTTCACTCTGCAGAGGAGAGAGCCAGCCAGGATCTCATTCAGAAACTCTCCGCTCAGATGCTCTCTGCTGCTCTCCCTCTGCATCCGCTTTTTATTAGAATGAAAACAAGAAGTGGTTCCAAGGTCAGCCGATAGCAAGAGAGGAAACATCTTAAACTATGATTAGCAGAAGTTATACACAGTAAAGAGAACTAGGGGGTTATTTTGGGTGTTACTTATTGCATCATCACAAAAGAACGGTTTCTAACGGCAGAAATCACACTTTGGTTTATCAGGTCATTCAAGCATGTCACGTCTGCAGCTTTCATGTGCACATTATGTTCCCTTTGACCTGTTAGTGACCTCCTAATGCTGTATAGAGACGAACAAACCTTACACCGCTCTCAATGTGAACAATCTGTGCGCTACAGCATCAAACAACAATGATGTTCTCAGTTTCAGGGACTTAAGACTTTTAAAATAAAGATAAATTCATCAGTTTGACACAGACTGGCTGTTTCAGAGCATCATTAGATTGACTTTAACTTAGAATAAATAAATAGGCCCATCACATTGCAGAGTCATTATGACGTCTATAAATCAGGTAATATAACATATTATACAATCCATCACAATAACATTAATGGAGCAGAATAATACAGATGAGCCAAAAGTGATAAATTGATGATGTTCATGTAATAAACATGGATTGA